ACATTTGAAAACGTATTGCTCTCGACAAAGTCCTCACACATAGTTTACATAGTGATCAGGCAGCGACAATCTCCGACTCAGAGAGAAAGCTGCAGAAGAAGGAAAAGGGAAGGAAGCGATAAACGGGAAGACTTTAGCTGCTGACTTGGCTTCTTCTTTCTGTAGCTGACGCCTTCTAAATCCCAGCTCCGAATACGCAACGGCATCCACATTGTTGCGTTATTGTGTCACTAGCTACCTTTCCCTGTTTGTCCTCAAGCTTGGTAGAGAATTGTCATCTGACTTACCGCGGCCGAGGAGGTTTTGTTTTGGTTTCATTTATGGTTTATTTTTACACGTCGATTATGTTTTTAAAAATTTACATACAGATGCCATCTTGTCAGTCATATCAGAAAATGTGTCGCTCGCATCGACAGACGGACCTCCGGAAATTCAACGGTTCCAAACAGTTTGTGATTGATCCATGTGTTTGTCACGTTAAATCGACTATAAACAGTGTCACAAAAGTGGACGTGATGAGGTAATGTGCAGTGCAGACATAAACACACACAAAAAAAACACGCACACACACATGCATGGCACGATGGACGCACACACTACTGAATACTACTACTAAATAGCGTGCAGATAGTTTGTAAGTTTGTCAAAAGTTGTTACACAAAAGCACATTTTCATTGTTGTTTGTATTTTATAGAAGAAAGAACTGTTCAGACGTTTGAAGTAAAAAAAATATGAGCATCAAGATCACTGTTGTGCGCAAAAAAAACTTGTTTTCTGCATTTTTTGGGGTCCAAAATAGGTGATTTGGGTGAAAGCAACCCATCTTCTACTGCCGATTACTAAACAATGGAATAAAGTACTAACAACATTTTTTTTTTGTACTGAAAGAAGAGTCTAATCTTTCATATTGTGGGGATGTGGTAAATAATGAGACAGATATTTTATAGAGCTAGCAGCAAGCTACTCTCCTTCATTGCTTACAAGTTTATCATCTCTTTGAACCGAGTCCAGCAAAGGCCAAGGAAAACCAAATCGTATTTAATATTTATTCATTCCATATACAGTTATTTGATGTCAAATGGGGCCGCAGGCATCTTTTACTTTCGTTAACTAAATTTAGATTTATTAAAAAAAAATGTACATTTTTAAAGGAGGAAAGACTTTTTGCCTGACATTTTTTTCAATTTCTCAGTGAACGGGTCAAGGAAAACAAACGTTATTTGGTATTGAACCTGCTATATCCTGACAATTATTCATCATCGTATTTTGTATAATTGGCAACGATTGATTTTTTAAAATTTAATTTGCTAACTCACTCACTTTCCGCGAACACTGTAGGAAATTTAAACACAAAATTCCAACGAAAAACTTTTGTCCTTGGCAGAGGTCTGCGGTGCAGCGAACGCCATTCCAGTAGTTTGTTCTCTCTGCTGAACACACACACCAGACAAATATTACATTGGCCCCGGTTCTCCTCTCATGTGATTATATTCTCTCTCGGTCTTTGTCTTGTCTCTACTTTTTCCTCAATCTCATTTTCTCCTGCGTCAACACAACGCTATCAGCGTGTTTGGACAGCTTTTGGCGTCTCTGCCGGCCCGTGACGACGGAGAAGGACAAACTTGAGCTTTCAGGAAATTTGCCGCGTTTTCACTCCCGAATGACTCCCGTCAAGGGGACTCGGGGGGGCAGCGGCAGCTGTCGCAAATGCCCGTCTCTCCACGCTAATAATAACCCCCCCCTAGCTAGCTAAGTGAGGGGGGGCCCCCCGCGTTGTCTCTGCCCGACCCCCGGAGTCTAGTTACAATGAGGAGTAAGGATTAGGCCAGGTTGTGGATTAGGGAAAGCTATTTTACCCTTGGAAGGACGAATACATGCACGTGGTGGTTGAACGCAACTCTTGGAAGTGACTGGACACGAAGCTCCTGGAAAACAGAGTCATGTGATTTCCCCTCCCTGAAATCCGGCAAGTGGTCACCGAAACTCATACTTGACATAGTTCCGCTATTTTTAACTGCACTAGTGTATGTACAGAATGTATAGAGGGGTGCGAACAGATTTGGATGACATTTGGTGTGTAGTTTCATTGTGGCCTAAGGATAAATTCATTAAGGACCTGGATCAAGATCTAGATCTAAATATTTTTGTATGGACCTAAACTGGATTTATTTAGATTAAATTTGGAGTGCAGCTTTGTCATGAGATGTGAGTTGGGATGTGGCTAATCTGGATTCTGATTTTTTTACTTGGACATCAGACTTTGAGAAGGTTTGGAAAAGACACCAGCTCACATTAAAATACAAGCATGGTCTCAGGCTGAGATTATGCAAAAACGGAATTTTGCAGGGTAACTATTTGCGAGACTACACCTCGATTCTTTAGGCATTATTTTCCCTGCAATGCAATTTTTAATTACTGAGTTTCGCGTTTCCCATTTTGTTCGAGCTCATCTATTGCTTAAGACTGAAAGACTTGAGCGTATCAAACAGGTTTGACATTGTTGTCAAGTAAAGACTGATTTGAAACAGATGAACTTACCACGTACACCTCAAAAATCTATTTCTGACTTTTCATTTTTATAGTCTGAGACCGTGAAAATCGTTTGGGATAAACTCAGCATGATTTAGAAAAAAAACATTTTGATGTCAAATGTGGTTGAAATAGCTTCAGGATGACCAAAAGACGAGATAGATTGACTTTGGATCTGAATCTGTATTAGAATCGCAGTCTGGATCCAGATTTTTGGACAACACACCACACAATGGATGTGTGGTAGGTGTCGGTGTGTATTTTTGTTGAGTCTGAAAGACCAAGATGATTGAATGAATGAACTTTTGATTGGCACCTGGCTAATCTGGAGTCAGATTGTTTTTGTATGGAAAAAAAATAACATTGTATGTTTATTTTGATCCAAAGAATCAGGATTAGAACTGCTATCTATTTCAACAGCGTTTGGTGAGTAGCTTCGGTGTGATCCAAAAGACAAATACAATCACTTAAGGATCTAGATCAATTTGATACATCGGCAAAAAAAAACAACAAACAAATGTTTTTGTGCTGATTTCAAGATCATTACGAAGCGATAATCCAACTCCATTTATACCATCGGGTCCTCCACAATACAAAAATCCCCTTCGGCTGAGATAATAAAGTCTTATCGCCAAGAGATATCATGAGCTGTTAGGAAGTAGAGCATGATGCTAAGGCCTAAAAACCAGAGGACGTGTGCACACTGGATGGGAAAAAAAAAAAACATTCATTTCCTGCGGCATGTTTGGCCACCCGCAGTCCAGAAATGATATCGCTCATTATGAGAAAAAAAAAAAAAAGGTCACATTATTTTTACTTCGCCGTCCTGACTTAGTTTTGCGGGTAGACCACACGTCACAAATGAATGCGTGCTTTTGCATCAGCGCTCTTTCCAAGTCTGCAGGTTTGGACCAATCATGCACCGATGCCTCTCGCGGACAAACGAACCTCAATGGCTGCTCATTTCACTCTGGTGACTGACTTGCATGAGCTGCTTCAACTTGCTGATGTTGTTGGGTACCGTGTGACATGAATGTGTGTGTACGTGTGTGTGTGCAGGCATGTATGTAAAAGCGTGTGCATGCTCGCGATGCGCTTTACCGCCGTTGCCCCTTTTCCGGGCGGCCAGCCTTTTCTTAATGAGCCGCACTGGCTTCTGCGAGAGGTCGGAATGGACACAGTTTAGCATTTAATTCCCATTAGTGTCTTGTGATGTAACCTAATTGAGCCATCAGACTGCCTGGCCCTTTCAGTGGTACGACACTGGAGGCATTATCTGGACATTATGGCTCTTGTGACATTGAACGCTAGCTAAAAAGCAAAAAAAAAAAAAAAAAAAAAAAGAAAAAATGGTGCAGACAGAGTGACTTCAACATGTTAACCTGCCGTCTTATTATTTTTTTTTTTGGGCTCTACAACATGTCCTGCTGCCCCCCCCTTTAGTGACCAGACAAGCAAGCCTGTGGCTCACTCAAATTGGTAGGGTGAAGAAGGATGTCATTGATACAGTTCCACTCAACCGCAGGCTAGTCAAAGTTCGACCCGCCGCTCAAGTGAGACAGCGCAAATCAGGTTGGGATTTTCATTGTGGTGGTGTATTATTTCATTCAGTTTTTGGCGACACAGCAGCGGTCCCCAACCTTTTTTGCCCCACGGACCGGTTTAATGTCAGACAATATTTTCAGGGACCGGCCCGATAAATACAACGGCCGGAAAAATACAACAAAATAATATGATATGACCTGCATGAAACCTGTGGTATTTTTTTAAACATAATAATAAATGCTGTCTGGTTACTATGGTGATGTTTAAATGTGCCTTCAAAATAAGATACAGTGCAAATATAAATTGCATGAAAAATACGACTCACCATCGCCGCATGTTATGCAGAGTGGGCTCGGTGCGTGGGAATCTCCCGTTGAGATAAATCCGTATTTTAAGTAGGACTCCTGATACTGTCTTAAATGTAGCCTTCTTTTTCTCAAAAGTGGTAGGCTGCTCTTCTGTCTCCTGGCTGGGTTTTTCCCTTTCCCAAAGAAACTTTCCAAAGACGTTTTGTTTTTTTTCCACCAATTTTGTTAGCTCCTGGGTTTCAGTTTAGCGGTAGCCTATCACGTGATCGAGAAGAGTACCTTTACCCGAGTCAAGAGTGACATACTGTCGACGGATGTAACAGAGAATCTGGTCATTTTTCAAAATAAAACATCTTTCAGATTCCAAAATGAATAAAACGGTAGTAATGTAATGTTATTTAATCTTTCTGTGCCGCCCGGTACCAAATGACCCATGGGCCAGTACTGGTCCGCGGCCCGTGGGTTGGGGACCATTGTTATACAGGTTAAGACTCATGCTTGTGCAACGACTCGGTTTGATTTTTCAATGTATGTTTTTCAGCTGTCGACAGGTCTCAACAATTGATGTCTGTTACTAGGGTTCTTTCTTTCTTTGCGGCATTCTAAATGGCTCCAGGAAATTGCCGCTGGCATTGTACGACAATAGAAAAAGAGAGGTCAAGTGTGATTCTTCAAGTCAAAAGGCATGAGGAGTTGAGAGGAAGTCTCAAGCAAAGCGGTGTTTTTTTTTATTTTTTTTATGAGTGTGACTTTGTTTCGGAATGCTGAGGGCCGTCATTCCGGACGGTCTTTCCCGGCATGTTGCGACAGGCTCTGTCTCCAGCTGGCTCCGTGAAAGAATGGCTGCAGTTGGACAGCACAATAATGGGAAAAGAAAATATTATTACAGTACTAAAGGCGACACTGGCTCCCAATTAGCTGTAGAATGGTAAAAAGTCCTGCTACTGGTCTTTAAATCATCCTGAATACATTTAAGAAATGCTGATTGAATATAAACCAAGGAGGGATCTTAGATCTGCAGACTCGGGTCAATTAATGGAGCCTAGATTTTAAAATAAACATGGCGAAGCTGCACGCAGCTGTTATGCTGCACACACACGGAATAAGATGCCAGGAGAAGTGAAGTCAGTCCTGATTAAAAACGTTTTTTTAAATCATCCTTTTGATTAGGGTCCTTGAAACAATTTTAATCATTTTTTCCTTATCGTTATTTAAGAAACCTTTCATTTCTTTACATTGAAATTATTTTTTAAAAAAATGTTCTGTTAACGCTTTTAAAAGTTGTCACTGTTTGTTCTGGTAATTTTTTTAAGCTACTTTTTCTTTTTTTCTGCTTTGCTCTGCTGTCCCTAACTGTTGTTTGTCAATGCTCGTAGGTGTGTCTTTACTCATGTGAAACATATTGAGTTGCCTTGTGTCGGAAATGTGCGATATAAATAGAACTGCCTTGCCTTGCCTATCAGATGTAGAAATGCGTGTGCAGTACACGAAAGTCAAATCACAAAGTTATGTTCCGGCCAACTGAATGTGAATCAATTTTTAATGAACATTTTGCATTGACAGACTGACAGAGATAAGGCCTTGATGTGGTGACTGCATAGGTACGGGATTTTATAAAAATCATACTTTCATAGGCATCACGTGGAAAATCTATTTTTTCGCTGCCCTCAGTCTCCTGGTGAGTAAAGTAGAAGTGTCAGAGTTACATTGGAGTGGACATGGCTAGAAATGACAAATAATCCAATGTTAGTTCTGTCGGAACGCAGGCGTATTATACTCCACATCTGCTTTCTGCCCTCAATCTCCTCATGAATTAAACTTCAGTGTCATTGTAGCATTTGAGGAAACATGGCTAAACATTACACACATGAACATGAAAGTGTGCTGTTGCTGTGCTTTAGCTATGCCGAAGTGTTATACACCGCAGTCTCCACTTTGCTGCAGTGCTGCCCGTATTCTCCTCTTGAATACAATGATAACATCAATGTAAACTTTGAGGATAAATGGAAATATATTAAAAAAAAAAGCAGCTTACCCTGTTGCTGTACTTCAAATGTCGACATTGCACCATTAGACTTCAGTTTCCACGTTTTTCTGCCCACAATCTCCTCTTGGATAAAATTTGTCTCCCGAGAAGTATGAAACAAGAGACCCCATTACCATGTATTACCGGGTCCTATTTTAAAGTAGAAAACCGATCACCGAAACTGAGCCGAGCTGGTACTGTGCAATGGTAAAGTGTCAGCTATACTACTCCCCGCCAACCCGTAAGAATACCCACCTCTTCCAACCCCCCCCCCCCCCCCCCCCCCCCCATGCAGGACTCATAGGTTGGCACCATGTACTTGATGTTGATGAAGGCGTCCTCTCCCCCATAACGCTCCAACACCTCCAGAGTCTCCTGAATGAGGTCGCCAACGTTCTCTCTCTTCTGCTGGCTGTAGTCGATGCCGTCTCCAGTGTTGACTGCGGGACAAAAGAAAAATCCACTGGACACTAATACATGGGTCTAATCTGCTCACCGAACATTCCAAACCTGGTAAAACTGATATTGAACACAAAAGACAATATCACCTATTTATGTGATGATGATGATCTCATCCCTGATCACATTTATTTTTCTTTCAACCCAAAAAGTTGATGCAGCATCAAGAAACTACGAGAAATGTTACCCTAATATCATGTAAACGTCTTCCGTGTGGGACTTTCTCTCAGTCATAATTGTTGGGACTGCTGAGATTAACACGTTAATCTTCATCTTCAATTCAAAAGCTGTGCTGATTTCAAATACAACATGATGCAACAGCGCCAACTACAGGGATCTGTTAGTTAGTTACAATGATTTACAAACCTGGATTTCATAGTCAAGCTGGGAATAGACAGTCTTTCACGCCTATCTGTTAAAAAACATACTTGACAGGCACGAAACATCTGAATTCCTTTTGAGGAATATAAACATCCGTGGCAGTGACTGGGCTGGTGCTGTCACCTTGTCCGTACCGTTTTAATCAATGACAGCAAAATGAATAAATAATAAATAATCAAATTAACAATTTTTTTTTTAGCATATTGAATTAGCGATGGGAAGCATTTGGGGTGGTGTTGTGTTGATGTGCGTGCGCAACGAAATATATTAAAGTATAATACCAACTTGAACGATGCAGGTTTTGGAACTCAAAATGGCCTAGTTTTGAGTGCCTGAGAAGTTGTGGTTTTGGTAGGTGCAGGGATTCCGACCGACCAACAGCGACGGTCTGCACTTTCTACTTCCATTCCAACTTCAAGTCTCGTGTTCTCTATTTCAACAATTCAATTCTACAGCGTTTTAGTTGGATAAAAGCTGCATTCCGGAGCACCCAATACTGTTCATTTGGTCCAGCTGTCGCATCAGTTTTACTTTGGCTCCCATTTGTTGTGTCAGGTTTTTTTGTCACCGCTGGATCTCTGTGCGAAAAAGACTTTCCCTCGATCTCCTCCCGCAACTATGCCGCCACACTCTTTGCTCTTTTATTGCTTTGGCCCGCTCGCATTGTTTTGATGCTATTTCAGATTGCGCTAACTAGCAGGGTGCCTGCAGTTCAAAAACACACACGCACCACCACCGCCACGTCTGAGTCGGGGCGTTGAGCGGTGGCCACTAGTTTCTCAGAGAGCAAAAAAAAAAAAAAAAAAGCGTCAACATAGTTAAAGGCGAACACGTCAGTGAGGAATCATGTGGTGATTCAGACAAATAAAAGTTTCAATTTCCTTCCTCAGCGAAGTCGAATTAGGAGCCGCTCATTTTTCCACATAACAGGTGTTTTTCATCTCTGCCTGCTGTCTCTGCTCGCTTGGGAGCGAGATCACTTTTACTACATACAAAAAAGGGCAAAAAAAAGGGAGATTAGCATGGAAAATATGCTTTTTTTGGACTGGGATGAATGACAGAGAGATTGTGTGTGTGTGTGTGTGTGTGTGTGTGTGTGTGTGTGTGTGTGTGTGTGTGTGTGTGCGTGTGTGTGTGTGTGTGCGCGTGTGTCTCCATAGAAGCGTCAGTGTTTGTTTTGTTTTGAGGCCCAGCGCAGTGGCATAAGAGCACGACATTTGACTATGCTGATAAGGGCACTGTGTGTGTGAAAGTGGGCTGCTGAAAATGAAAAAATAGCAGTGAGTGGGCTAGGCTGGATACCTCTGGAATGTTTTCTAGATAACAAGTTCCCTCAGCGCACGAGAACTCGGTTGTATGTTTAACTACTGCACGCGCGCGCGCGCGCGTGCGTGCGTGCGTGCGTGCGTGCGTGCGTGCGTGCGTGCGTGCGTGTGTGTGTGTGTGTGTATGTGTGTGTGTGTGTGTGTGTGTCCCAAGGGAGGGCCGCTTCCTCGCCATGTTGTGAATGGCTAGACACAGTGTATTATGTTCCCACCTAGCCCGCAAACACTACTGAGACGAGCGAGGCAAACTTCTGAGCTCAAGAGCGACGTTCGATTTTTCAAAAGATGTCAACTCATTTCTTTTAACAATATAATTCATTTCGCTTTCAAACACCAAAACAAGCAAATAGGTGGCCCGGTGGTGCAATGGTTAGCGAGTCGACCTCACAGTGCAGAGGTCGTGGGTTCGATCCCAGCTCTGGCCTCCCTGTGTGGACTTTGCATGTTCTCCCCGGGCCTGCGTGGGTTTTCTCCGGGTAATCCGGTTTCCTCCCGCATTCCAACGACATGCATGACAGGCTGATTGAACACTCTTAAATTGTCCCGAGGTGTGAGTGTGAGCGCCGATGATTTGTTCGTCTCTGTGTGCCCTGTGATTGACTGGCGACCGGTTCAGGGTGTCCCCCCGCCTACTGCCCGAAGACAGCTGGGATAGGCTCCAGCACCTCCAGTGACCCTGGTGAGGATAAGGCGGATCAGAAAATGGATACAAAAAAAAGAAATCAGAATTCATGGAAACCAGAAAAATACTTCAGTCTGCCTCTGTTGCGGAGGCTTGCGTGTTGCTAGCGTCCACACGGCAAGCGGTCACTAACTGCTGTGTCCTTCGTATGTCGCATGTAGGTCTGCTAAACACTGTCGGCAGCCTTATTAAACTCCTCCGCCGCAGACTCCCAGCTGGCACCAAAGCACCAAATTCAACCCAGCCAGTTCATTCGGGACCGATTCACACAGTCACGTTAGAATACAGCGAAAAAGGGGGGGGGGGGGGTCGCTTTTGTCGATGCGACATCCGAAAAAAAAAAAGGGCTCGGAAAATCAGTTTTGTGAGTTCATCATATCGAACCGAAACTAACTGTACCAATTTCAAATATCGTGAAATCCGTACTGCATCATCCTTTTTTTGATGAGATGCACGTCCCTTATATCTTCGAAGGAAAGACAGCATTTCCCATACCGGGCAGTTAATTCACAATGACAAAGCGACAAAAGAGTCATTGTATCATACCCACTCATTCGGTCGCGTTGGAATACTCGCGAATCAAATCGTTCCTCTTTAAAATGAGCCGCCCTTGAATGGTATTGCACCCCCCCTTGCGTCGAGGTACGCATTGAATCATCTTTTATTGGACAGATGCACACCCCGAGTAATTCACTTACTTTTGCAGGTTCTCTGTGAACCTGGATCATTTCGGCAATGTCATCATCTGTACGTGAAACATCTGTCTTCACTAAGTTGTGCAAACCTATACTTTTTTTTTTTTCAACGCAGATATTAGAGCAGCGTGTTTGAGAAGGGAAGGGAAATGGAGAGGATGCTTGTAAAACGTTGCTCTCAAAGTGTCCTTCAACTATCTCGTTCTCCCACTTATGGTTTTCTTGTCGCCATCTTCATTTTTTTCCAACCCTCTACTTGTCTGCTCTTCTTTTTCAACAACTACAGAATGTAAAGTACAGGGGTCTTTTCGATTGTGGCGACGTAATCCGGATCTGTAGGCAAAATGTAATACTCTGTAATCTATGACTAACCGACGCTAATGCAGAAATATCATAATTCCAGTAAATATTTGTATTAAAAAACACTCCTCGTCTTTTAACTCATTCAGTACCAGCCAATTCTAGACCAAATCTGAAAAGACGTTTAAAAACGTCTTTGGGAGTGAATGAGTTTTAATAAAGTATAAATACTATCATCACATGAAGAAAAAAAAAATCCACTAACACCTGTTTAAACCCATTTTTAGTCAAATCTCGGACCATGTGACGCGAGGAAAATGTCTTGAGAGGAGTCCCGTGAGAAAGAGGAAGCGGTCGATGCAGAAGAAGAAGAAGGATCCTCCGCTCAGTCACGTTGGCGGCACGAGGGCACTCGTTTTGTTTTCGCCTTTGGCGATAATCCCTGGGATTCGCGTGTCTTTTAGCGCGTCGATGCAGAGGAAAGTCTCATGTGACATTTGGCTGTTTATTTCACTCCGTCGACATGACGCATCAAAGCTAAGGTCTTTGGGAATGCGGAAAAAAAAAAAAAAAGCAAAACTCAGGTGGTGCTTTCTCTGAATACCAGTTGACCATGTCTGTGAACAAGGCCTAGATTTTATATATATATATACACACACACACACACACACACACACACTCCAATATTTGTTCATTTTTTGAACCCCCAGTTGTGCTGATGAAAAGATACCCCCCCCCCCCCCCCCCCCCCCCTTGAGACTACACCTCTC